TTTTTTTTTTTTTTTCTTGGCTTTCTGCTTCTATAAACAGATCCAGAACATGGTTCAGGAAATAGCAACACTTGTTAAGCAAATGCACACCAAGTTTGTTTTCACTTTTTGCTTAGTTATTTTTTGGTTACATTATCTTTGTATATGTGATACTACAATTTTTTCTAATGCACCAAGAGGGAGACAATCTGGGCTGGAGAAACAGCACAGACTGCTCTTGCTGAGCACCAGGCTTCAGCTTCCCGCACCCATTGACAGCTAACAACTGCCTATAACTCTAGTTCCAGGAAATCCAATACCTCTTCTAGCCTCTTCAGGCATTGCACATAATGATGCACTTACATACATACAGGCAAAACACTTCTACACATAAAATAAAAACAAATAATATTTTAAAAGGGAGACAACCCTATTCAAATGATAAAGATTCCATAAATACAGGTTGTTTTTATTTCTATACATGTTCTCAAATTCATGTCATTTCGCCTTTAGCACAAATATTTTCCCAGTTGTTTTGCTTTGCATTTTACTCAACCCTGAAAAATAACAAAGGAAAAATGCTACCCTAGCAGGTCTTCCTTCTCCTACAAAGTTCTTCAGTGACCTTTTAAAAAGAGTTTCTATAGGATGGTCAACGGTGCTTTACTTCTCTTAATATAGCATGGACGAAGAGTAGGAAGAACAAGAGTATTACCTAGCACAATGACTAACCCCACTATGATAATTTTCAATAATTAGATTATTGGGCTTAGGTGGTAATTTAAAGATCATCCTATTCAAACTTATTGTATAACTAAGACAAATTAACTCACTTATTACTGAGTTGATAAGTGACTTGCCATATAGTGAGTCTTAAGAAAAATTCAGGTACTGAGATTCATTTGGTCCACGTAATCTTTCCCGAGCTTAAAGGAACTCACAACTATTATTCTATAATCGGCATCAATCGGCTCTACAAATTATCCGGGACTGTTTTAATCTATTCTGTTCTATTCTCGGTATGATAACCTTATCTAAATTATTTCACGCTAAAACTTACCCAAACAGCCCACAGCCTATAAAACATGGGAAGGTTTTGAGATACAAGAGTTCGAGGACAACAGGCTGAACTCACGATAGAGGTGAGTAGACTGTACCAAGCATCTCGAACCGTCAAGAGGCAAGTTTACAGAAGCAAAGAGGCCATTCGGCCACATAACATCTACTTCTCTTTCTCGGAGAGAGCCCTTAAAACAGCAACATCCGGGAAGGCGATACCTACGGCATTTCGAGACCTAAGGAAGCACTGCCGCCACTGGATAAAACCAACTGAGAAGTCGCCAAAGCAAAGGTTGAATGAAGCCTAAAAAGCGCGCGCAACAGGCACCGGATACAGTGTCACACCTAAAGCCACCCGCCGGAAACACCCTCCGCACGATAAAGAGCCCGGGCGTGTGCGAGGAAAAGGATGTGCAGGGAGTCCAGGGCCCAAGGCTCCAGCCAGTCGCTGTCGGGTGCAGCCCCCAGACCTTCTCTCACTAGTCTAGACCTAGGAACCCTGGAACAGGCGAGCGACAGTGCTGTGACTGTTCTCTCTGGGTCACTGCTCCATGCATTTCTAGCCGGACTGTTTGAGCATGTGCCCTGCATCTTATTTCCGGTGAGGAGCAGTTGCTACTGTGATTGAAAGAAGGCCGAGGTCCTTTCTGCTGCTCTGAGAGGATCGCAGAATTGCCGAAGAAAATTGGCTGCTCGTCCTGGTTTGTGAGCTGAGATTAGGTGGCAAGCAGGTCGCTCTCTCCGCTCCCTCCGTGTGGCCTCTTCTCTCCCACTCGCTGGTTTTACTTCTCCATCCTGCTAACAGCATCTGCATGCCTCTGAATACACCTATGAATGCGCAGCTTTATGCCCCAAGGAATACAAAAACAGAGGGAGGCAGCCGGAGATTAGCTGCGGGTTTATTGCACAGCGTAGGGACGTGCCGGTGACTCTGTTCACTAGGCTGTTTAGAAGCCTTAGGCACTTGTTAACAGTTTATTTTTCCTGCTTCTTGTGTGCCTGGTTATTTATGGAGCCGTTTGCTACTTTGTACTCTCTTGGCCTGGAGGTTTAGTAAAGGTTTCCAAGCCCGAGGGGGTACAACTATGTATTTATTTAAGCTTCATTTTAGACTGTTCGCAGAAAGGGAAAGAATAGAATTCTGGAACATTTGTGCCAAGGGATTTACATGTGAGAGTAACCCTACTTGGAAAGAGCATTTGAAGAAGATCCTTAAAAATGCGTTTTAAAATTGCTTGCTGTAAAGTGAAAACGTTCTTCTTATTGGAACAGTTTTCTTTCACATTTGTGAGACGATGTGCTCGCATATGTGTTTAAAAAAAATGTGTTTAATTATAGTGATACCAATTTGCAGTAACCAGACTGTGACTCTACATCCCTATGGGGTCCTTCTGAATCTGGTGTAATATGAAAGTGTCAGGCAGGCAGTCTGTGTATTATAGATAGGGTACTTCATCCATGATAAGCAATTATTATCTTTCTTTCCCAAGTGTAAAAGACTTACATAATTCAAAAAGGTGCCAGTGATTTAGGCCTCCTGAATTAGAATCCAATGAGTCCTGAAGGGGACCCTACCTGTTTCATCTTACTGTTGAACTTCAACTATTCAATTTATTAGATTGGAATGTATATTTAGAAGTCAACGCAGGATAAAGTAATCTTGGAAGCCATTAGACCACCAGCACAATTTAGCACCATAGTAGCCATTGTTCAATAAGCCTTCTTCGCATTAACAGAAGAAACTTACTGAAATTTTACCACTTCCAACTAGCCGGTTGACATCTCTGTTCCTCAATTTCTTCATCTGTAAAATGGACAGAAAGTGCCTGACCACTATAGTAGAGATAAAACAAAATGTAGGGCAGTTTAAGATCTGATGAGCAGAGGCATTAAATAAACTCCAAATATCAGTACTAATAAAGGAAACCAATAAAGCCCCATGGTAGTTTATAAATGAGACTTCAAATATTCAGTTATTTGACATGTGGTACATTATAAAACTAATGAAATGATTTGGTTGATCCTGCTGTGGAGTCTGGGTGCCACTGCAGTTGATTTATATAAAAATTTTCTTTACTATGAAGTTTCACAGTATCCACAATTTCTTTAACAATAACCCTCAGAAGTCTCATCTGACCTCTTTATTTTGAGATGATGTATACTTTTTCTTTGATCTGATTCTTTTGTATGATGCTGTGTTTTTGTTCTTTGAGATTGCCCTGGTTTGCTTTCTGTTGCTGTGATAAAACACTTACCAAAAGTACCCTACTTTGGTGACTCTAATTTGTGACAAGATGGTATTAAAACCAATCATCACAGGGATGTTACATATTTCAGAAATTATATACATATGTATGTGTATATTCAAGTGTATATAATTAAAAATCAATTACTGGGACTTACTCTATTTAACATGTACTAATAAGTTCTTATAGATACTGTAACATTTATAATTTTATTCTGTACATAAAAACCTTAATACCCTAATTCTCTGCCTTGTGATAGATAACATTTGTATTTTAGGTGATTAACATTGACTAAAGCAAAATTTTAAATTATTTTCTAATAGAATGGCCAGCAATGCAGGGAGTGATGCAGTTTTTACAAGTCAGAAATCAACACTTTCAGAGAGTCCTCAAACAAAGAAATTTCCACTAACTGAAGAGGAGAGATTTTATATGAATTGTAGAGCCACCTACTTAACTGTCTTCAAAAGCAGCTTAGAAAACATTATTTCTAAAGACCAACTCTACCTAGGTAAAAATTTTTTTAATTTAATTATTTTTATTTTATGTGTAAGGGTGCATTGCCTGCATGTAGGTATGTGCACCCATGTTGTGCAATGTCTGCAGAGGTCAGAAGAGGGTGTCAGATTCCCCTGGAACTGGAGTTATAGATGGTTGTTAGCCACCATGTGGGTGCTGGGAATTGAATCTGGGTCCTCTGAGTGAGCAGCCAGTGCTCTTAACCACTGAGCCGTCTCTCCAGCCCAACCTAGGTAAAAATTTTAAAGTTAAGTATTGTGCCTTATTTGTTGAAAGTTAAAAGGTTTATAAAACTGGAATTATGATGACCTTGTCAAATTGTCCCAATTTCATAGTGAAACAGGCAGCAGAACTGTAAGAAGCAATAGCTGTTTACAGTTTCATATTCTAGGAACTTCAGATAAAATTTGCAGTATTTACACAGTCTGGCCTTGCATATTCAAAGATTCCATCGGTTACACTTGCTCAACATTTTTTTTAAGTTATTTTGGTGCCTTAGGATTTATTATAGTAAAATTAGAACACTTTGTCATCCAGATCAGTAGTCTGAATTTTGACCTATATTAAGGACAATATAAAGCATATGCAAAAGTGGGGTCAAATGCCTGTAAAAGAGCATATCTAGAGGTAAATGAAATTTTAAAGGAGAATTAAGAGTTCGAATTTTTTATTTTTGGTTTTTTTATTACTTCTATCCATTATTATATTTTAGAATTCCTTTAAGTTGCAAATGTCCCCTAGATCACTGAGTTTGATCCTTACCAGGTGTTCTAATTTATTTCTCCATTGCTGTGACAAAACACTCTGCCCAATGCCAACTTGGGGAGGAAATATTTTATTTTTTCTTACATCTCCCTCAGGAACCTGGAGGCAGGAGCTGAAGCACAAAGCCATGGAGGAATGCTGCTTACTGGCTTGCTCCCCTGGCCCCTGCTCAACATAGGCCCACATGTCCAGGGTTAGCACCACCCACAGTGGGCTGGATTTTCCCACATCACTCAGTAATCAAGAAGATGCCCCCCCTCCCCCGAAATGGCTACAGGCCAGTGCAATGGAGGCAATTCCCCAGTTGAGGCTTCCTCTACCCAGGTGTGTCAAGTTGCTAACTAAAGCTATCCAGCACATCAGGGTATTTTTGAAGGTTTTTTTTTTTTTTTTTTTTTTTTTTTCTATTTTAAAATTTTTATGTGTATGAGTATTTTGCACCCATGATGTGCAGTGCCCACAGGGGCCAGAAGAGGGTTTTGGATTTCCTGGAATTGGAATTACAGATGGTTGCTAGCCACAATGTAGGTGCTGGGAACTGAACCTGAGTCCTCTCCAAGAGCAGCCAGTGACCTTAACCTCTGAGCCATCTCTCCAGCCCCAGCTTGGAGGTCTTGAGTCTGAAAGTCTTTAGTCACTGGAAAATGGTAAACAACAATACTAGGTAATGCTGACTGCTGGTGTCAGGTTCATCAGAAGCTATTTTGTTGTCTTTACAAGTAGTTTCCTTAAACCAAAACTTTGAATGCAGCATGATCTTTTTTTCAGGAAATGCGTGTTGGGGAAGATGAAAATTGAAAAGATTAAAATGTTTTTGTTGCCTAAATAAAAGGCATTTATAAAAGAATTTAAGAACAAATGCACACAATAAAATTAATTTTTACCTTGACTTACATAATTTTAAAATTAGTAAAGCATTTCATCTTGAATTTTAAATATTTATGTTTGATTGTTATAGATGATATAGGCAAAAAACCAGTGAACTGAAATTCCAGTTTGTTGCTACCACTAAAATACCAGAGCTTGTTTCCTTTTACCTTTGAAAATAGAATGAGATAATAAATCTAAGTTTGAAAGTTTAACACATCTACCACTGGTATGGTACTTAGTTTTTAAATCAGTGAATATGTATAACAAGGTGCTATCAGTCTTCTGAAATTTTCTGGGACAATAAAAATGAAATTTTTGCTTCTTCAGTGTTACAAGTATTTTTAACTTTATTGTGGAATATTTTTGTAGCACTGTTGAAGTTTAGGTAGTTTGTGATGTCTCTTTCTTACTACTCTTTTTCATATAGTGCTTCTACCCCTAGGCATATAGCATGTGGTCTTACATTTTCATCCAGAGTCAGAGCAACAGCACTACAGGTATAAATATATGGCAAAGCTTGAAGTCAGTCTTGGCAAAAGATGAATACATAGGTGTCAACCTTTAAACATTTACAGTTATGTAAAAATTTCACTATCATCACACTTAATAAACAAATTCTAAACCATAAAATTAATGTTAGTTAATAGCAAGTAAATTGTATCAATTTGTCAGATACAGAGATGCCTACTTGCTGAGTACTTATTTTGGCAAAATTTCTGAGAAAGTTATTCTTTTTAAGTTAATAGTAAATTTAAAAAAATTTGTGTATGCATGTATTGCCTGCATGTATGTACGTAAGTGCATCCTGGCCATGCAGTTCCCACAGAAGTCAGAATGGGGCATCGGAAACCCTGAAACAGGCATTATGGATGGTTGTTAGCCACCATGTGGGTCTTGGGAACTGAACCTAGGTACTCTGCAAGAGCAGCCAATGCTCTTAACTGCTGAGCCATCTCTCCAGCCCCTTAATATTAAATTTTAAAATAAGGAACTGGAAGTATAGCTCAGCAGTCGAGCACTTGCTCAGATCCTGAATTCAGTCCTCAGTACTGGGAGAAAAAAAAAAAGTAGCATCAGCAGATTCTTAGGTAGTGGGTATGGTGGTTCTCTGTGGATCTGCAAGAGCAGCCAATGCTCTTAACTGCTGAGCCATCTCTCCAGCCCCTTAATATTAAATTTTAAAATAAGGAACTGGAAGTATAGCTCAGCAGTCGAGCACTTGCTCAGATCCTGAATTCAGTCCTCAGTACTGGGAGAAAAAAAAAAAGTAGCATCAGCAGATTCTTAGGTAGTGGGTATGGTGGTTCTCTGTGGAGGCACATGCTTGTGTGTGTGTGTGTGTGTGTGTGTGTGTGTGTGTGTGTGTGTGTGGGTTGTGTGTGTGTGTGTGTGTGTGTGTGTGTGTGTGTGTGTGTGTTGGGGGACTCGTGTGCTACAGCACATATATGGAGGTCAGAAGACAACTTTTGGAAGTCTGTTCTCCTGCCATGTGGGAACTTGGGGATTATACCCAGGTTGTCAGGTTGGACTGTAAATACTCTTAACTGATGAGCCACCTTGTTGTCCCACTAAAAACCCAGTTTACATAAGTTTTTGTTGATGTCTTTTTAAATTGAAATTCTGTATATTTCATATAAAACATCTTAATCATCTTAACCACCCCCATCCTCTTCATAGCCCCCCCATCATATTTCATGCATTCTGTCATTTATATTGAGGCTTATTGAGTCAAGTTAGTGTACCCAGACATCCCTCAATGCAAGTTCATCCACTGGTATCTAGTCAGCTTATCACTCCTTTAAAGAAGACCAGCTCTCCCTCACCCATCTGTAATCATCTGCCAATAGTTGTTAGTCTAAGATTGAGTTCTGCTACCCATTTCACCAGTTCTATGCTGGGTTTTTGTCTGCTTGAGTTTGCATAGGTCTTGCGCATGTTGTTTGTTAGCATTGCTGTAAGTTCATATGAGCAAGGCCTCAGGAGCCTGTAAGACTCTATTTCCATAGGGTCAAGCACATCCTCCCCCTGGTTCCTACAGTCTTTCTGCCCTCTCTTCTGCAGTGGTCCCTGAGCCTTGGTTGGATGGAGATTAATATAGTAGTCCTGTCCAAGGGTCCACACTCTCCAGACTTGTACACTATGCTTTGGCCATTGTGGCCTTTTGTGCTTGTTCCCTGTTTCATGGGGGACATTCATTGATGAGAGTTGAAAGATGCATTAGTATTCATTCTACCCCTTGTTCCACTATTTTCTGTGAACCTTAGGTGTACAAGTTCCATTGTAGATGTGCCATTTAGGGTTGGGCATTTCACACTTATCTCTGTGTGTGACCAGTTGTAGAACATTGTTATAGTTTCTATATGTTGCAAAAGAAGCTTTTTTTTTTTTTTTTATAAGTGGTGACTGGCATACTTGTCTGCAAATATAAGGATTCATATTTAGCGTATAGTAGGAAATTACATTTGTCTGGGGATGTGACAGCCTTAGGGTTTTCTCTAAGATCTATGCCTTCTCCAGCCAGAGTATTTGGCTATGTTTACAGAACTACACATGCGTTCCCTCCCATTGAGCAGGCTTTAAATCGAATTAGGTAGCTGTTGATTACTCCCAAGTTAAAAATGCCACTACTGCCCCAATGTAGTTGGCTGTGCCAGTCATTGTGGTTATGGGGCCTTAAAGCTGGGATTGGACCATTGATTGATCTTAGCAGTTTGCATAGTGTCCTCCAAAACTATGAGAGCTAGACTTCAGAGAAGTGGCTTCCAGGTCAGTTCTAGCCCCATTGCTCCAAGTCCTGTGTCTGAAGTATGTCCTATTTTCAGCAATAGAGTCCTACCTCCAAGTTCTGGGAGGCAATCAAGAACTGACAATAGCATGCGTAATTTTGTGAGTCTCTTGGACTACCCTCGTCAACAACTCAAGGTGAGGTTTCTCCTGTCTGGCACTGTTTCTTGTTATATAGCCTTCAGCTATACACATGGACACATGTAAAGATATTGTATGTGTAATTTTTCAGTAGACTTTCAACATTAATTTTTAATACATTTCCCTGTTTTTTCACACCAGCTGAGCATTTATCTCTCCCTTCTCTCCCTGTCTAACCCTCCCTCTTCCCTCCCCATTTTCCTCATTTCACACTTTATAATACCTGTCTCCTATGGATTCCCCCCACCGTGCTTCTTCCACTTTACCCCCATGATTTCTTGTGTAACCCTCCTTCTTCCTCTCCCATTTAAATACCCCCATTTCACCCCTGATAACACCTATCTCCTACTGTTTCTCTCTCTCAAGCTCTTTCTTTTCCTTTAACTCCCTGGTTCCTTTTGATTTTCCTGGCTCCTGCAGTTACATCAGGAT